TCACGCTCCGTCTCTGAAAAATATAATAAAACATGGGGGGGGGTTAGAGGAACAAGCCAAGGTGGTTTCGTGCCATGAAATCTTACGCGGGGTCAAAAGGAAGAAGACGAATCCGCAACTACCGACGTGGACAGAGCTCAGAAACCACAGCGCGGGGGTTGGGGGGGGAGACGGAGAACGTGCTGTCCGCCCAGGGCCGGGACGAGATGTCCTGGATGCACACTTGCGGGTGTGTGAGGTCCATGCGCACGCGCGCGCGCACACACACACGCGGGGCCTCTGCAGGTGACCGGGGAGACCGCATTGCAGGGGAGGGGAGTGCGGCTAAGACCAGGAGACACACAGGTAGACGGGGCAGCGCCCGGGCGGCACGGCCAGAGCCGGAGCGAGGACCCAGCAGAGAAGGGGGGCCCGAGGCCCGGGGCACAAGCGTGAGCCGAGCAGGTGTAGAGCGAGTGCTGGGTGCGGGGAAGCCGCGAAGGCTGCACAGCCGTTCGCGTGATCTGGTTGTGATTTCCTACCCCCGTCGGTGTGGCCGCGTCAGCGATCGGGAGCCGCTCCCGTGGACCTGTTGCCTGAGCGGCTCACCGCCCACGGCAGGGCCTGCTCTTCTGCGTTCTGGAATCTGGTGCGTGAGCCGCGTCGTGTGTGGGGCCAGGGCTGGGGGGCGGCGGGTGAGGCAGCGTGGATGGTGCTGCTGGTGGGCGGACCGGAAGGGCCACACCTGCCACCAGTGGTCGGTTGCCACTCGGGGCCTAACTTGTGTTTGGTCCGAGTAGGACTTGAAGACAGCGGGGCTTGCTTGCGGCGGACCTCAGCCGCCCTGACGCCCCTGCGGGGCCGACGGAGGAGGCGCCACGTCGCTGGCATCCCCGGCTGTGGACGAGGGGCCGCCCGGGCCACACCACAGCCTCCTGTGCGCCTCTGTGGAGCGGCCGACGCATCTGCCCCGCTCGGTCCCGCCGTCCCTTCCTGCCGCTCAGCCCCTCGGCCCGTCCCCAGCTCCTGTGACCGGCACGCCCTGCCTGGCGACAGAGACCGACCGCGAGCAGCGGCTGGCCCTCGGGGGCCTTGGCGCTCACGCGCAGACGGACGCGGCCCCGATCAGCGGGCTCTGCATGGACGCCCCCGAGTGTATCTCAGGAAACTTGCTCTCCAACGTCACGACTTTGGAGTCCACCTTGGAGGCTGGAACGGGATGCACCCTGTGTGACCTCGGAGCGTTTGGCTTGGCTGCCGCGATGGGGGTCCTTGCACGTGGGGACCAGGGCGCCTCCGAGGGCTCATGCAGATCACGAAGGACCCCCGGGCCACCCAGTGCCTCCTCTACGACTGTGCTGGGAGGGTAAGGCCAGGGCTGTCCCGTGGCTGAGAATGGACTCCCGCTGAGGGGTGGGGACCCCCAGGGTCCTGACCCTCCTGGGGCGGAAGGTGCGAACGGACCGGATCAGCAGGGGGAGGGGTGAGTGGCGCCCGATGGAAGAGCACAGTCTGCCAGGCGTCCTGCGCGGTGGGCAGGCCCGGGAGCGGCCGCTCTCAGAGTCTCTGGAAGGCTCCAGAAAAGAGCATCTGTTTCCGAGGCTGCTTGTGTGGGTGGAGGCGGCCCCCAGGGCGGTGACCACAACCTGGGGCCCAGGGAGGAGGGGCGCGCAGGGGGCAGCAGGCGGGCTTCTCTGCCAGGGGCTGGGGCGGCCCCGGCCCCCGCGTCCACCTGCCGTCCACCAGCAGGGGGCAGCGATGCGGCGCCGGGCCAGCCGTTGCCCATCGGGGAGCCCCCCCCCACCAAGCCAGCGAGCCGGAAAGGACATGAGTGCAGCCGGGCGTGACTGCCTTTCTGCGGGGGCCGTGTTGGCTCCTGACAACGGCCACTTACCTTTCCAAGGGCCTAGACACCCGCTGTCGGGACCCGGGCACGGGCCTGGGCTCCCTACCTGCCTGGAGCCCTCGGGTCCGTGCACTCGGGGCACACGTTCTCAGGCCGCAGGCGGCGCTGGCCCGGGCCCCCTCCACCAGCTCTCCGCGCTGCCCTGCTCCTGGGGCCTGGGCGCTGCGGCTCCGGAGGTGCAGGCGCCACGGGCTGTGGACCCGCAGGAAGGGTCTGCCAGGAGCCCCGCCTCGGACACCGGCCACAGACCTGGGGGCCCCGCTGGCTCCTGCGTTCCTCCTGCGGGCGGCGCCTCTAAATCGCTGCTTATTCTTTCTTCGGTTACGGGGGGTCCTTCTGAAGTTAGCCTCCCCCCCCCTCAGCTAGGCTAACGGCCTGGGGCCGGAGGCTGGGCAGGGACCTCCCCGTGGGCCGCACTCCTGGCCGGACCACATGTGGGCATCGGGCTGAGCGTCAGGCAGGCCGGGGACGCGCAGCGGAGCCCAGGTGTGGGGTGCCCTCCAGCGCCCGCACATCCCCGTCTCCCCATCCGGGGCCGGGCGAGGGGGTTCCGGCTACAGACGTCCGCGACTCCTACCCACGCGACACCAGCCCTTGACTGCCCTCCGGCGCCCCCAGGGCTTCGTGGCGTCTGCACAGAGCGGTGGGGACGGGATTCAGTGCCCACCGCAGGTGCGCCTCCCCCGAGCAGGATGCCTTTGGCTGTGTGTGTGTGCACGCACACCCACCCACACCCACGTGCAAGTGCGCACAAACACATCCACACCCAGCCCCACATGCACACACACCCACACGCAAGTGTGCACACACACATCCACACCCAACCCCACATGCATATATACACATGCACATACTTCTGCACACACACGCACACATACATACACACGGATATATACACACATAGCTCATATACATGTGTGCACACACATGCGCACACCCCTGCACACATACACACATGTATGCATGCACATAACCACACACATCCACACATGTGCACATACACCCTCACACATGCACGTGAACACACCCACCCACACATATATCCACACATCCACACACACATGTACACATCCATCCACACATGCACATGTGTACACACACGCGCGCGCACACACACACGAGGCAGTGCCGGGAAGGCGCAGGGCCCCTGCGCACATCCACATGTACACATCCACATGTGTACACACACACACACACACACACACACGAGGCTGTGCCGGGAAGGCGCAGGGCACCTGCCCAGGTGTGGTCACTGTTGCTGCTCTCAGCCCCGTGATCCAGGCCCGGGAGGCGCTGGGGCCCAGCGTGTCCTCCTCCGTGAGCATGCACACCCACACCCACAGCCTGGGTGGCCGAACCTGGACTCTCTCCCGAGGCCAGGCTTCTGACTGTGCCCTGCCTGCAGGGAAGTGGGGGGGGGCAGCCACGGACAGAAGACAGGCCCCAAACCCAGACCTGCTGGTCGCCCACAGGGAACCTGCACTTCCATTCTTCACGGAGAAGCCCGGCCGCACACTGTGCCTCCACGGGCACCCGCGGGTCCACCGACCGGCTGTAGGCAAAGCCACCTGCCCGTGCGGCCAGCACCCACTGCTGGTGCATCCCCGCCAAACCCCGGCAACGGGGAAGGCCTGCAGGAATCCATGCACGCTCTTCCGGGGTGAACGCTGTGGCCCCGTGGCCCTGGCGCTTCTGAAAGTCTGTCTCCTGGAGTCAGTGCTGCCTTCTGGCTCCGGGATCCAGAGCTCCCGGGACTGAGGGACTTTCAGTCTCTGGCAGACGGGGCGGTTTGTCCGCTAGGTGAACCCCCCCCCCCCGCCCGGGAGTCTGGACAGAGGGCCCTGGGAAGCCTTGGTTTTGTTGGGTGGGACACCCGTCAGAAGCACCCACATGTGGGTCAGACAAGATGCAGATTTCAGCTCAAATGAGTAAAAGGATTCTCATGGGCGGCACCGTCCAAAGATGGAATAACTCTGGCTTGAGCTACTGAGCTCCTTGTCCTTGGATGTAATCAACCAGGAGGTGCAGGCCACTTGGTGAGAATCCTGCAGATGGAGTTAAAGACCCAAAGGGGCTGCGGGGACTGGATACTCACGGAGCCCCTGTGGCTCTGCCTAGGTGGGTCCGGTTTCTCCCGGAGGGGCTGATGGAGCGAGGACTGGGACTCGCCGAGGGGGGTCATCTGATGGACCTTTTCTCCCAGAAGGTGGGGGCGGGGCGGGGCAGCTGGGGTGCCTGGCTGCGGATTCCTCCCAAGCAAGCCAGGGCGCGTTCTCAGGGCAGGGCCTGGTGGATGGGGAAGCCAGAGGAGCAGCGACCCCTACCCTTTCGGGCAGCAGGGGGCAGGGTGGTGGTGCCTTGCCATGGGAGCTCTTGGGTCCGGGGACCCAGCCCGGCCCTCTGGGGGCTACCCCTCGGGTCTCGTGCCTGGAGCCGGGCGGGCCTGTGGATCCCCGCAGCTAAGCCTTGGCCAGACCTGCTCACCGAATGTCTACGCCCAGCTGGGCGCGGGGAGCAGCCCGCCACCCCGGAGTGCTCCGGGCGGAACCCCAGGTGGGATGGCGTGTGCCGCACACGTTCCTGCAGAGCTAAAGGCACTGAGGTCCCTCCCCATCGAGGCCGGGTCAGACCTTGGAGATGACCCCGGAGCCGGCGTGGGGGCTTCTCCCGTGACACTCCACCCCTCGCACCACCTCCCTCCCCTCCCCTCCCGGACTCCCTCCCGCGCCGGGCCCTGGGTCTCAGGCTTCTCTGATCTCCCGGTGCCCCCGGGGGTGCCTCCGGGGCGCCGCGCCCCCGCCCGCACCGCAGGGCCTCCCCGCGTCCGCGCCCCCCGCGCGCGGCGGCGGCCGGAGCCGGAGCCGGGCGGGGGTGCGGGCCGCGGGGGCGGCGTCGGGCGCCTTCCTCCGCCAGTCCCTCCCCGGCGGCCGCCGCTCGGCGCCTTTAAGGCAGCGGGAGGGAGCGGCGAGGCGGCGGCTGCGGCGGCCGAGGCGCGCGGGGCGGGGGCGGGGGCGCGGGGCGCGGCGCGCGGAGTCCGCCCGGGGCCGGAGGCGGCTCGGCGGCCGGGGCCGGGCCGCAGCGGCGAGGAGCGCGCGGCGCAGCCGGAGCCCGCCGCCCGGGACATGGCCGCGGCGGGCCGCGCAGGTGAGGGCGGGCGCGCGGGGCGCGGGGCCGGCGGCCCGGGGGAGGGACCCGCGCGCGCGGCTGCGGGAGGGGCCCCGGGCCCAGGTGAGCCCCCGCGCAGGTGGGCGGAGGCTCCGGGGGGGCCGGGCCGCGCGCGCCCCGCGTCCTTCCTGCGCCCCCCGCACCCGGAGGGGCGCCGCCGGCCGGGGCCGGGCTGGGGCCGCCTGGTCCGGTCCCGCCACCCCCCCACCCTCGTCTCTGCCCGCAGCCCCCGGCACCGTGCCCCCCGCGCCGGTCCGGACGCGCCCCCCCAGGGCCACCGCTCGCTCCATCCGGGACGCGGCGACCTCCCCCCCCACCCCGCCCCCAGCTCAGTCAGGAGACCCAGATTTCTTCTGGGGAAGGAGGGGTGCGCGCCGCGCCGCTCGGGAGCCGTCCCGCCCCCGCCCCCACCGGACCCGGGCCGCAGAGCCGCAGGTGCTAAGGTCCGCGGGTCCGCAGGCTCGGCCTCCGTGGGGCCCCGTGGGCTCTGCCCTCCCCCGGGCGCGGGCGGTGAAGCCCGCGGTGTGAGGGAGTGGGCGTCAGTCGTTCGGTCCTTCATTCATTCAGCCAGGCGTCCATTCGCCAGCGCCCTGTGTGCCAGGCCCCGAGCTGGGCCCCGGGGTCAGGAGGACCTTGCATACTCTGGGCCTGGCGGCGCCTCCAGAGGCCCCGGGCGGGGGACCGCCCACCAGGCCACGCTCGGTGGTGACCCTGGCGGCTGTGAAGCTGCCACGAACTCACAGCAGGCCTGTGACGCTGGCAGGTGCTGGGCCATCCTGGGGGCTCGGCATCGGTCTGGCATGAACCCCACCCCTCCGCCCACAAGCAGAGATAGTGATGGAATGAGTGTGAATTAACCCGTACGCACTCTCGGTGTGAACACCACGGGCCGTGTGCAAATCCGCTTCTGCCCACGGAGGCTGCTCCGAGCCTTGGGCAGGTCCAGACCCCCTGTACACACGATGGGTGTGTGATTTAGGGCCCGGAGGAGTCCTGTCGGGTGGGGCCGGCTGAGTGAGAGCATCTCAACACCCCTTTCTCACTTCCCTGCCTTTCCCTCCTGCCGAAGTCTGTGTCTCTCCCTCCTCCTCCAGGAGCCTCGGGCCTCACCCCCCCCAGTCCTCCCAGAGGGCACAGGGCAGGCTGTGTGTCCCGCCCGCCGCCCCGCTCCGCGTGTGCGTGTGCGTGCGCACAGCCCTGCACGACCCACCTGCCGGGGTACAGTCACCGCAAGAGCGCTAACCCTGCAGGCGGAACAGGCCCCGCGACTCGGGAGGAAGGAGATGCCGGCCCCTCCTAGGCGTCTGGAGCCCAGGCTCAGAAAAGCTCTCCCTGCGGGTGGCCCCGAGGGCCTGGGCAGAGGCTGGGCGCCGAGTCGGGTGTGCCGGACTCTAGAGGTGCTGGGTGACGGCCTTTCTACATCACGGCCCCGTCAGGTCAACCCCATGGTCCGGGGGTGCAGTCTGGCCCCTGTGCCCTGGCCTGCGGGTCGTTTGGTCCCCGGCTGCCGGTTGGAGGGAATTTGCTCAGTGCCAGGTGAAAACCTCCCCGAGCGTCTGTGCCGCGTGTGGCTCTGACATCTCGTCTTTTCTGGGGCATTTCTGTGCTTGGCCCTTCACTTCAGGGCAGCCTGACACACCCCCCCCCCCCCCGTGGATCCAATGCCCATACTCAGCCGCCGCTCCGAGGAGCCTTTCGGGATTGACCCAGCGAGATGGGATTATGCCTCCTTTTCTCAATCCTTCTGGGTTACTCTGCATTTTGTAGGTGTCCCTTCTCTTCAGGCTCTAAGCCTACTGACCTGAAAACAGCTTGCGGTAACGTGTGTACGGGAGCCGCGCTGGCAGCGCCCGTGTGGAGTGATCGGGCTTCAGAACAGAGGGGCCCTTGCAGACGGGGGCCTGTGTCTCTCTGCATAGCTAGAGAAACTGGGGCCCAAGGAGGGGACAGAACAGAGGGGTGGCTGTTGGGGACCGCAGATGGGCAGACTGGTGATCAGAAATGATCAGGCCTTCGCTCTGGGGATGCCATCATGACCACGGGAGGCTGAAGACCGGGGTGCAGGAGCAGGAGACTGGCCTAGGAGACATTCCCTCTCCTAGGCCAAGGAACCACCTAGTGAGGTTTGGGCCCAGAGTCACCCCTGGGCATGACTCCAGGATCATCATACTGTAGTGCAGTGAATGGTGTCCTTGGACTTGTGCAGTGTACAGCCTGAGCCACCAGCCATGGCACGTCAACTCTGTCAGACAGGCGCTGGAGGGCGGCAGCAAAAGGACGTTCACTTTGCCAGGAGGGCCCGGGTGCACAGAAACATGTTAGGAGGTTCCAGAAAGGATAAATTACAGGGTGTGGATCTCAAACGGGTTACTACTCGTTCCCAGCCTCTGGGAGTTCCGGTCCCCCAGACCAGAACTGGTGTGCCCTGTGTCCGGTCTTGAGGGGAGGGAGGGAGGCCCCGCGGGAGGTCTAGGTCCCGTGGGCCAGGAGGGGCGAGGCCTCCCTGGGGGGACAGTCATTCACACCCCGGGGGTGCCTGTGCGCACCCTCCAGGGCTGTACAGACCGGAAGAAGCCAGAGGTGGTTTGAAACGGGGAGCGCGGGCCTCAGAAGCTGGTGAATTTGGGCAGGAAGGCGGCGAGGGGTCAGCCGTGGGTCAGCTAGGGGCTGGGCGAGGAGGATTTTCCTGTGGGGGGGCCAAGGCAGGGTGGAGGTGGGAAGGTGGTGGAGGCCCTGGAGGGGTGTGTGGGGAGGGGTGGGGCTGAGAGAAGTGGCGCAGAGAACAGTGTGGGAGGTTGGGCGGGGTGGTGAGGTTCTCGGCAGCCCCTCCGCCTGCTTGGGGGGCGGCTGAGACCCCCGGGCCCCAGGGGTGGGGCCTGTCAGCGGCCGAACCCCATAATCCAGGTGGGCAGAGTGCTGGGGGCGCCCCCAGATCCTGATGCTTAGAACCCGTGGCGGTAAGAGGCACTGAGGCCTGGGAGGCCACAGAAGGGTGGTGGCCAGCAGGGCCTCGAACCCCCTTTTCCGGAGTCTGGGTTTGGCCCCCGCTCTGCCATCAGCCAGCGCGTCATCTCAAAGCCAGACGGCGTCCAGGGTCCCCGGCCCTGCTGTGGCCAGGTCTCCCAGAGGAGGAAGGGGTACCCAGCACCCTGGGAAGGTGCCGGGGGATTCAGGGCGCCAGTCTGAGGCGCCCCCAGGCCTCAGGCTCCAGCGTGGCTCAGACGAGTCTGGGAAGGACACCGTGTTTGTTCCGCAAGGAAATGGCAGATTCACCTTCTCAGGTGCCCGGAGGAAACGCTGGGCCCGAGCCGAGGCCGGCGTCCCACTCGGCGGGTCTCACACGGTGTCTCCTGAGCGCCTTCCTGGCCCTCCCTGCCGTGGCGGGAGTGCCGGCGCTCTGGGGGCCCCCCGTCCGCTGCTGGGCCGCCTGTCCCCGGGGCTTGCCCGGCGGCCCAGCCAGGGCCCCTTTGCGCCCGGAGTCTGGGCCGTGGAGGCTGCTCCGGCCAAAGGCCCTGCAGCCACAGCGGCAGCGCTGTTCGCGTGGCAGGTGTTTAGGGTTTGCAGGGGGGACAGTGTGAGCCCAGGGTACGCCCGCCCCCCCCGGCGGGGCCGCGTCTGCGTCGGAGCGGCCGGGGGGCATGGCGTCTTGTAGAGGTCTTGGTGTATCGCGACGCGTCACCGCAGGAAGTCTGCAGGTGTCCCCCCACCCGCTAATTACGCGCAGGGCGGGAGACCGAGGCCAGAAAGGCACAGGGTGGCCCGGAGACCCGTGAGGCTCCGCACGTGGGGACGTCCCGGTGGATTCCAGGCGTGGGGGCGGGAGGCACGGTGTCGGTGCGCCCAACCTGCCCCCACCCGGCGCTCGACAGCATCTCTTCCCGTGAGGGTTGTTGCTCCCATTTCGTGGATGAGAAAACCGAGGTCCAGAAGATCAAGCGTCTGGTTCTAGAATCACGTGAAGTGGGAGGCAGAGCTGGATGCAGGACTCGGGTCTCCCTGTGCTTGGATTTAGCATCCCTAACGGGGAAGTTGTACCACCGAGAAGACGCCGATTGGTCTTGAACCGCCTCTCTGGGCCTGTTTCCCCATCGGTGAGGGGGTCGGAGCAGAGCAGGGGAAGAGCTTGGGGACCAGGACCAGCGCTAAATCTAATGCTGGATTTTCTTCTCAGAGAAAGAACCCCCCCCCCCGCTGGTTTGTGCTTTGGAGGCCCCCACCCCCTCTCCTGCCTCCTCGGGACCCCGAGAGGTCGGGGGCAGGCCCAGGACGGAGGGGCTCATGCCTCTGGGGGTCCTGGCCGGCCTGCCATCGCCAGATCTGCCCTGCGCGGGGGAGGGGTAGCCGGTCCCCCACCCGTGGGCTGGAGTGGGAGGGGGCCAGGAGCGCATAACGAGTGAGCCGGAAGCCACATGAGATCCCAGCCCCCCACACGCCCTCGAGTTCTCTCTACTCCCTGTTTTAAAATTCTTGTTTTCTAAGGAGAACGAAAATGCTACATCGCAACCCCTTTTGCAAAGGAATGGGAGCCATAGTGAGTCACTCCGGAGGTAAAGCCACCTCCAGGGCCTCACGCCCGCCCGCCCCCCTGCACAGCTGTGTGGCCATGGTCCCCACCGGGGTACGTGTGTGGGCGGGGGGGCAGCCTCCTGCCGTCAGCGGCTCTGAGGCGGGAGCGGGGGTCCCTGCCGCGGCCCCCACCCCCGGGCTCTCCCCAGGGCGGCATTTACGAGTCCGCTCTCCTGTGCCCAAGCCTGTGGGGCTCAGCGTGAGGCCTGGGGGGGCCTGCCTGGTGGGGATCCGGGCCCCTGGGGGGAAGGCTCTGCGTGTGTGGCCTGGGCCGGCACGGGCAGGTGCGGCTGCATCCGACCCCGCGACCTGAGTTCTTGGGTGTCCAGCCCCCACCTGCGCTTCTTGGTGCGGCTCTTCTGCAGGCTCGAGAGCAGCGGGGTGCGGGGCCGGCCTCCAGGGGAAGGCGTTGG